TGAGCACTAAAATTTTAACCTCTTCAAGTAAAGTCCCAATTCTTATCCATCCTTCTTATGCTCATAGTTTTCATATTCTACCACCTCCTCTTTCATTCTTATCATACTTCATTCATCTTTTCAACAGCAAATCTCTATCTTGAGTGACTCTCAGGCCTTGTATTGGACGAAACTTAGTAAAAAGAATCTAAGCTGATTTATATGAAATTGGTGACCACGAATCTTGTAATCTTCTCATGAGTAGAACATATTCTTAATGAAAAATGAATTGATTGATATCAAAAACTTTAAACCCAGTTAAATGTTCTAATAATAATATTAATAATAATAATAATAAAAACGCAATTTATTACCGTTGACTTTGTGTAACATCAAAAATCTAGAAAATCAATCTTAATTTACTTGCTATAATATGTTTTAGGTTAAATTCTTGAAGAAAATTTTTGTATTCCCCATTCAAATTAAGGGGTTTCGGAAAAATAATTTTATATTTTTCGCGAACGAAAGCAGTGGCTTGTTTGATTGTACGAGGCTCCTTCTCAACGAATCACAGCAAACAAATAAAAAAAAAAAACAATATATATAGTTTTTTTGAAATTCTGAAATATCTGATGTCAAGAAAAATATTTGTCTATATTTCTGAGATGAGGTATTATGTACACTATTTACATTATTCGGACTATTGTCCTCATCTTTGTTGACATATTTATTACAACGTTTCAACCGTTCAGTATCTGTCTATATTCCTGAGATGCCTTAACCAGATATTGAACTCACAATCTTTGGGTCCTGTCACTGGATCTAACCAACGCCTTTATCCACTGTGCCATGTGTCATTGAGGAGATAACTGATAACTGACATCCATTAGACATGGCACGTGGAACTAGAACAGTTTATCCCAGTGAGCAAAATAAAGGGTTCAGTTCGACATTCCAACCACCTGAAGAAGGCCGGAGCGTACAACGGCCGAAACGTCGTAATAAATGAGGACAATATCCTGAATAATGTAAATAGTGAAGAAAAATATTCTTTTGAAAATTTACTAAATGAGCTTTCAGAAAAATTAAAAAAAATGTGGAAACTTAGAACATCCAATAATATTTCATGTATGGACTTGGGAATTAATATTGCATAATGATCAGCAGTTTCGGGCTTTAACAGATCATCACATCAGGTTTCTACACACACACACACACACACACACACACACACACACACACACACACACACACACACATACATATATATATATATATATAGATATATAAATAATAAAGCATTAACTTACTAACCACTCGTTGAATGACGATTCTTATCTTTAAAATTGTAATATAAATAAATAATATTGTGATATAAATATATTGCAGGCTGAACGATATTTTTTAAGAGTGGGTTATTTATTTCAAATGAGAACATTTTATGAATATAGTAATATAGTAATGTGGCAAATCCACGAATTTTGTTGTGTTTTTCAGTTAACGTGACATGGACAATATTGTCCAATTATTACGGTAATGTCTTAGTAGTTTTTTCCAGAAATTTTGTACTGCGGATCAGTCCTTATAAATCGTCATTCAATCAATGATTAATAAGGTAATGTTTTATTAAATTTGTTAGTGAAGTGAATTCGTCATTACTTACATTAACTTTACTGATTAATTCTTTGTATGATTAATTCTTTATAATATATATATATATATATATATATATATATATATATATATGTCTAGGTTCGGATGTTATCAATCGTACTCTTTTTTGCAACCTTCGTTGTTGCAGTGATGTTCTATCAATGGTGTTCTCAGCATCATTCTAAGAACTATATCTATGTTGCCTCTAATCTCCTCTTGAAAGAAATTGGTTAGCATCCACTGTCATTGATATTACATAGCAGTTAATCACTCGGTTTGCAATGTTTGAAATGTTCATGTTTCTTAATACTTCACTTAATCTTTGGATTACGGTGTCACATTTTCCGCCGTCTATTAAAACACTTCCCAGATAGTTAAAATTCTGTACTTGATTTGTGCTAGATTTTGCAGTCAGCATTTTGGGTTGAACCTCTGAGGAACGATCATATTTCACTGTCTTCATAGCTTATCCATCCTAGTCTATTCATGTCTCACTCATTCTTTCTATAAATGAATCAAGTATTCTGTTTTACTTTTTGCTTTTCCACTACAATCTTTCTATTTTTCTCTTTAACCTTTTAAAAATTCATACTGATTACGAAGTTACGCACACACACACACACACACACACACACACACACACACACACAGAGAGAGAGAGAGAGAGAGAGAGAGAGAGAGAGAGACACAGACACACAGACGAGCGCACAAAAAAGTTTGCAAAAACAAAGAGTGTGATTGATTTCATCGGAACCTAGACAATTTCAATGGCGACCTGAAACAAACAAAAGCAAATCAATTAATGAGACTATTACGAAATTCTTTTTGTAGTTTATCGTTTTTTTCTTCTGTTACAAAACTGAACGCATTTGGATTAGCCGATGTACAAATAATATTTCAGAATTTCTCCCTAGTACTAAAGACTGTTCGAATACAGTCAATTAAAGATTTTCAAAAACGTTGCAAGACAAAATTTTGTTCAGCGCTATTTACACAAATGAAACCGATAATTCTAATCACTCTCATTCCGCTGAAATGTCATTTTTTTAAAAATCACCTCCTAGAATTTTCCAGGGTTTGAAAACACAAGGATATATTTGGTGATCAAAAAATTACTAAACATTGTTCCAAACTATTTATTCTACTAGCATGATCATTTTTACCCAATGATACCGGCAGATATATTATTTCACCTTCAAATGAAACTGAAAATTCGCAACATGAATAAATCTTCTATCTTGAATTCTTATCTTATAGCCCTGGTATCAACGAATCATTAATAGCGATGGTTATATGATGACACCGAAACTGCAGGTATACAAGATGCGTTTAGATCTATAATAGTAATCCATTTATACACCTGTGTACATAGTACATCACAACGACATTTGAGCTGAATATCACTAAAAAGATCGTGCTACGCCTATGTTCCAATTGAGGAGAGTCTAGCCACCTTAAAAAACAGTATTCGAAATCTCGATATATTTTGTTTACCTCACGTTGAATAGCAACTTTTTCCACTAAATAAATCAACTGGGAAGAGTTTTAACAGAGAACGAAAAGTCCGACACTGTAATTTGAAGACACATCGGGCTAGCGAAAGATGCCTTTCGAAAGCTATGCAAAGTATAAAGAAACAGGAATATTTCGTTAGAAACAAAGAAAAGAGTACTGAACCGCTTCCTATATGGCAGTAAATGCTAAACAATCTCCTTACAGATGAAGAAGAGAGTTTAAGCAACAGAAATGTGGCTCTACAGAAGGATGCTGAGAATGTCATGAACTGAACATGTGAACAACGACGAAGTTTTAAAGAAAGTGGAAATAAAAAGGAATTATATTTAACATCAGGAAGACTCAGTTGGAAGATTTGATTCTCACAGGACAGATTTAATGCATAAGGGATAGAGGAAGACAGTCCATAACTTATCTAGCGAGCTTGAGTAAATAGATGGCGGAACAAGGTTTAAGAGAGACATTTTCTATGATCTACAAAGAACAGGACATTGTGGAGAGCCATGATCGCCAAAGTTCTAAAGGGACTCAACAGATGGAATCACTAAATATTTGTTTGTGGTGTATGTATTTTGAAATTAGATCTGATCGTTTATTTAGTAATTTTTGTTGGTCTGGGAAAGTATTTAGAGTTATTTTTGCCTCCAGACAAAGTTTACAGTTTTCAGATTTGTTGTCGCAGGCTTATGCTGTTTTCTTTATTTTCCATGATATTTTTAGTGTATTTTGGTTTTAATTTTCCATATATGCTTAGAAAGGTTTTTGTTGTTCGCGTATTTACTATTGGTAAGTGGTGTGTTGTAAGCAGAGTTTCTGTTTTCAGGATCCTTCAGTTACATCTATAGATATGTGAGAGCCAACATCCTGAAGGGTTATGGCACAAAGACGTCTTCAGTCATGAGCAATGTAACAAAGTCGGGTAATGAAGAATCACGTCATTTTTAAAATAAAGAATGATTTTCGGTAAGAATGATTTTCAGTAAAATGTATATAAATTCGTAAACAGAAAATAGATTTAAAAGTGGGAATAATATAAATTTATTATAATTTTCCTCGCTTTGCGTAGGAATTTTCCTCGCTTTGCGTAGCAATTTTCCTCGCTTTGCGTAGGAATTTCCCTCAGTGTTTATCAACCAACGGTCTTTTAAATGTCTACAAATCAGAGTTAGAACAAACTACCAATATTTACGCTTTGATAATGATAAAAAATATTTTAATTTTTCTGTAAGAAACATGCCTACTGAATTATTTTAAAAATCAACTCCCAATAACAAACATTATATTCAAGTAGCTGTGTTAGTTTTTATATACATTTTAAAATTCTTTTAAAGGTTCTTATAATTTGTGTATGGAAGCATGAACGTGATTCTATTCAAATATGGATGAACAAATAGCAATAAACAGAAACAGATGCCCTGGCAGATGATAAAATTATTCCTGATTTTTTTTTATTGTTTAATTCTATATTCCGTATAAATTTGTTTATTTCGTTTTGTCTGAGAGTTCAATGTAACTTTTTAGGACAAAAGAATTTTACTTTTTAATTAAGAAAATCTGTTTAAAGTGAACAAAACTGGACAGAAATAGGAAAGAAATGATAGAATCAGTGAAATTATTCACCTAAAGATGGCGGTTCCTTTTCGATTCTTTTAAGGCTTTTCTTTTTATATTTGCTGTCTGATGAAAAAAGAACAAATATTTTCGCTGATTGTGTCTGTTCTTTGTTTGAAGACTCAACAGCAAGAATACGTATTGGATTCAAATCTTTTCAGTACCATTGTAAAATTAATTGCAAATACATTTAGTCTACAAAATAGACGAGATGATGTGGGTGGGCTGAAATTAGGTAAACGCTAATAAGCACTAAAGAAGAATAGAGAGGAAAAAGAAACTGATTTTGGAAGTGCAGGGAAAAAGGGAAAACCGTAACAGAAGTAAGATGGAAAATTGAAAAGAAAAGAAAGAAAAATAGGAAAATAATGAATAAAGAGATAAAAAGAAAAAATAAAGAAAAGATCAGGATGAATAATAGGAAGAAAGTAGGAAGTAGAACAATGTAAAAATACGAAAGAGATAGAAAAGAGAAGAAAATGGAAAATAATAATGAAGAAGAAGGTAACGTTAGACGAGGATTTAGAAATCTCTAATATAAAAGAGAAAAAAAGAACTTCACATTTCCTTAATATCTTCGTTGCCTTGAGGCATTCCTGCTTGTCAAAATTTATGCATTTGTTAAATTTTTTGTCTCCTTCCTTGCTGCTACTTCACATTTTAAATTGTTATAGTTTCCAAATTTAATCATTGATTTCTGAAAATTTCTGCTCACGGGTCAATCGCTGGTCGGTAAATGAAATCAGTAAAATTTGAAATTGTTTCTCAAACGATACCCAGTTTTATGAATTGGAAAATCAAACATGGTTTCCTGTGAATGTTGTTTCTCGTTTTCTCACTCTTTAGATTTGAAAAGCAAACGGAACAATTGTTTGAATTAAGGCCTTAATAAACGCCACCATCTTTCTTGTAACAACTTCTTAATAACGAATTTTAAAATCGGAATAAACTACAAGCCGTGTTCTTTTGAATGGTTATTGCATTGAAATCACAATAGAATCAGTTTGTTGACTCAATATATTGCGCCGATGAAGATGTCTTTAAGGCATATCGAGGAGCAATTCATTGGAGTAAAGTTATAAAGCTGATTTTAAATCATTGTTCCAGCAGTCAATTTCAATATAATTTGGAAGTCTTATTGAAATACATTAATGAAACTCTTAAACACAGTTAATTATTTGCTTTCTTGATAATAGACTTGTTGCTGTCACATTGTAATAATGAAAAGCAGAATAACTGAATAATGAAATCGTACAAGAAGATATTTAATAAAATTTGGCAAAGTGTCATATTGGGAAGAATAAATTTTGTGGTGTCGATCTTTCAAATAGGTCCTATGAAATAGAAATCAGAACAGTAATTCTTGTTTTTACTTGTACAAAGAATCCTTATGTGTCTTGGGCATACGCAGCTAAACCAGCGGCCAAAAGAAACTCCATGCGATGCCATAAATATTTACTAAAATTACCAATTCGAAGGCTAAATGTAGGCTTTGCCCGTACCAAAGAAGCTGATGTAGACATACCCCGTATCCATCAATGGCTACGTAGTACAGGGTTAAAAGCTGAAACCGAAGGAGCAATGCTTGTTAACTAGAAATTATCAAGCACATATACTGAAAATGTGTGTTAGTCCAAAATGCAAAACAATTGACCACCTTGTATACGGGTGCATGGTATTGGCACCCACTGAATATAAAACATGGCATGACAGAGTGGATTACACTGGAATTTCTACGGATAGAAAACTGAAAGAAATTGGTATGAACACAACCCAGACCCGGTTACAGAGATAGGAGCTGTAATAATTTTAATCGATCAAGGATAATCGCCCAGACATCATTATTAGAGACCACAAAAAAAAAATGCCTCCTTATTGATATGGCAGTTGCTGGAATGTATCATTGAAGATCTTGAAAATACAAGAACCTTGAAATCGAAATATCTAAACATAAGAACATCACCAGTTCCTGTTGTAGTTGGAGCCCTCGGATTAATTAGAAGAGATTCCAGTAGACTAATTGAAGGGATTCCTGGAAGCCTATGCCTTAAAGAAATACAAAAAAATGTTCTTACGAGTACACCGCACACCTTACGAAGGGCTTTATCGATGTAAACTATGTGTGCGTGTTGTTTATCTTCTTTTTTTTTTTTTTTGCATTTTCCTGTGGAAAAAGTCTTGATGCTATTTCTGACATTAGGTCTCTGGTCGGGACCCAGAAAGAGATAAGTACATACCAGAAATGAAAGGAAATATAATAATAATAATAATAACAATAATAATAATAATAGGACCTGTTACAATTCTATGGGACTACACAATACCCACTGACAGAACAATCAAAGCCAACCGCCCAGATATTGTTATTAAAGACCACAAACAAAAATAGTGCCTCCTTATTGATATGGCAGACTCTACTGAATGCAATGTATCTTTGAAGATATTCAAAAAGCTGTCAAAATACAAGGACATTGAAATAGAAATCGCGAAAATGTGGCATATGGGAACATCAACAATCCTTGTTGTAGTTGGAGCCCTAGGACTGGTTGGAAAAGCTTGCAGTAGACTAACTGAAGGGATTCCTGGAAGTCCATGTCTCAAGGAGATACAAAAATTGTTCTGACAAGTATAGCCCACACTTTACGAAGGGATTTATCTATGTAATTTTTTTTTATTTGTCAGTGGAAAGTGTCATGATACCATTTCTAAGCTTAGGTCCCTGGGCGGGACCCGGAAAGAAATGTGTAAACGCCAGAAATCAAAGGAAATAATAATAATAATAATAATAATAATAATAATAATAATAATAATAATAACAGTTTTCCTCATCATTATAGCAATTAGTAGAATCAGATATCAACATGTTTGCTGTAGAAAGATTATAAGAAACCTCGTTTCTCGTTAGTAATGTAATTGATATATGGAATAACTTCAGACTATACTAGCAATTATAATAACAATACAATTGTCGCCTTTCATTCTCTATAATAATAATAATAATAATAAACTGCCGTTGTTTCGAAACTAACATCATTATAAAATTAAGTTTAGTAGGGGTTGGGGGAGATAACGTAATGAAGAGGAGAATCAACCAATAACATTTAGTGCTTTTAGAAAATAATACACGTCTACCTCGACAAATTTTAAAGATTTTTTTTGCTGATTTTTGTGTTGAATATTAAAATAATATTTTTCTATCTCGGAAAAAGGCCTTTTAGGTGAAAAACGTCAACATTTTAGAGATTAATTATTCTTTACCTGTTTTTTTATTATTATTAAAGAAAAACAACGCGCACACGTAAAAATATGCGTGTGTGTCGTTAGAGTAACTGTGTGACTGAATGTGTGTATTCCATATATGTGCGTACGATCGTCTACACCAATGAAAATATATATCTACTTATCTATACAAATGTATCCATATACTAATTCCATTTCATGCGATCACACGGTCTTAGTTATAAGGATTTATATAAATATAGAAATATACATAAAGAAATGGCAAAGTTCGATGTATAAAAAAATACAAAAAGAAAATGGCGCCTTTTTACTACTGTTGGAATTCGAGCCTTGAGTGGTGACATCATTTCAAAATGGTTCTTTTTAATCAAGGAATAATAGGTTCACAGCGTTCGTTTCTAACGCGTTTAAACAAGCCAAGCCGATATGAACAACCGCCACTCCCAGTAGGAATCAAGTTGAAATTTGGTTATTTTTCATTTTGTTTCATAGAATCTTGTCTTCTGTAGGTGTATACACAATGTCTGTGTCTTTCTTCTTTATAGAGCACATGACCTAGCATAGACAAATCATGATTTTGACTATTTCATTCATACTTAGTATTATTATTATTATTATTATTAATAATAATAAATTTTCACATCATTATGGAATATACTAGAATCAGATATTTTTACGCTTGCCGTAGAATATTTGTGGGCAAGTTCGCTTCATATTTCTACTGAGTTTAATCCTTAAAGTGTGCTTTTCGTGCCCTTGTGTCAGATCTTTTATTAATATCATAATCATCGGGTGGATTATAAGAAATGTTAACTGATCTAAACTTAGAAAGTCCCAATTTTAGTTTCAAAATGAACAGCAACAAAACAAAAGCAATGTTCAATTATCAAGATTTTAAAAAAAAAGAACCGGAAGTTGAAGAATATTTATATTATGAGGGCAGGTAAAAAAGAAGAAGAAAAGACGACCAAGAACAAGAAAGAAAATAACAAATGAAAGGTATTTAACAAACTGAAACCATAATGAAAAACAAACTGAAAATATAATGAAAATTAATTTGCTAATATGTTTAAAACTACAAGTTTATAATGAATATATAAATTCTAGTTACGATTTAAAGGTAGGAAATATGGAAGTCAACAATTCGCTTGAAAACTAAAAATGCATAAAAATCATAAGAAAGTTTAATGCGAAAGATAAGTCTTACTGAAAGAAAATAATGAACATGGATCAGATATAGAAATGATTCAGAAAATGATGATGAGTAGGAGACATAACAAGAAACAAAGATAACAAATGGAGCAAAAGGTTGCTTGATTGGTGCCTATTTAATAAAACGCAACAGGTTAAAGATTAAATAGATGGAGAATTGAGATACAAGGGTAAGACATTCTTTAGTCCCAACAGCGCTGAACTTTACAACAAGGATCCGCCAAGTAAGTCCCACTTGGACAGCATCTTCTCATAATTTGCTGTTGTGTGGAATCGACTTCTGGAAGGATATTTACCTAATTTACTAGAAACGTGATTATATCAAGGCTAAGGTTAAATGCCTTCTTTCTTGCATAATGCCACAAACTTAAATTACTGACTTTTCTTGCACTCATACAATACCACATAGTAGCCTACTAACTTGAACGTCTTTTGGACCTTTTATTTGGATGAACATCGGTGTAAAGAAACACAACAGAAAAGATCACTGTCGTCATGGAAGAATTTTGGAAAAATTGAGGACTAATTTTGTCTATATAAAGTCACTATATCCGAAGACATGCAAAATAAAAGCAAATCGAAAAAAAAAAAAATGATGGTAGGTAATCAATATTCGATTAGCTTCCACTATCGGAGAATTGCCCTATTTTGCATCATTCCTAAACGGAAGCTTTGATTTTGGATTATAATTTTCTCTGTTGTTAGTCTTTACGCAATGGAAAGATTGGCGCATTATATTCTTCCCACTCATCTATCGGCTATTAAATTTGTATACATTTAAATAATCTAAATAATATTTCGTATGCTTTGTTTATGTATCAACACAACTCTTTGCATTTCAGAGGCCTGCTCGTACCAGAAGATTACCCTGACATTGTGGTAATGTGTGGCTATATGAGTTTTATCAGAAGAATCCGTAAAAGTTTTGTCAACATGATTTCCAATTGCTGATAAAAGATGTTATTCAAGTAATTGATCCTGCAATCTTGGGCCTTAATTATATTATTACTGTGACTCGTTTCATCTCAAACGCTTCCATATCACACACACACACACACACACACACACACACACACACACACACACACACACACACACACACACACACACACACACATGCATGTATAGCGTTAGGCATATAAACAATATGGCTGTAGAAACTGTTTATATCCATAAACACCCTATTCCCTATATAATAGCAAATTTGAAACAATATATATATATATATATATATATATATATATATATATATATATATATATATATATATGTGTGTGTGTGTGTGTACCAGTGAGGATATATATATATATATATATATATATATATATATATATATATATATATATATATATATATATATATATATAATTTCAAATTTGCTATATATTGTTTCAAATATGTACCGGTGAGGAAAGTATATATATATATATAATTATTTATTTAAAAATTATAACATATTTATGTTATAATTTTTAAATAAATAATTGTATTTGCTCTAGTTTGTATTGAGCACTCTTTTAAGAATTGTATTTTTTGGTTATTGAAAATTATTCCGTATACACCAATCCTATAGTTGTATATATATACATACACCGGTGTGTGTTTTTTCGAAACTTAGCACGAACAAATTCATGGATTTGGACAAATTAAAGTATGACATCAACATCCGTGATAATTTTTCATCTTTTAATAGTCAGTTCTACTTTGTTTAATTTGTAATGTACATAAACGTGGGTAGAAATAAAAAGCCAATTTTGATGAGATAGCGAGGGTCACAATGCACTGCCCGTGGATCCGATTCAGGTTGGTATATATATATATATATATATATATATATATATATATATATATATAAGGAATCAGAGAGCCGACTTCGAAATCCATTCGAATTCATTATATTCAATTAGCTGCGCATAACCTTGGGAAGTTATGAATCCAACTGTTCTCTCACCAACTGTGGGTAAAAACAGGACAGACTGTGTCCTTAAGCCTGGCATGGCGAACGATCTAAGATCAAGACACCTCAGATAATTCAAAATCTACTGAATATCGTTTATAGCCGTGGAATACTGTGCAACAGTTCTTTGTATTCGGCTCTTTCAAAAAATTGTTCCTGATTCTGCACAAGCCTTCGTTACTTATTATAATCAAATGATAGATGCGTGTAGTCAGGTTGTTAGTTCGAAGAACTGAGCTGCTTGACCTCCAGATGTCGAAAAATAACGGGAAATTCAGTATTATATATATATATATATATATATATATATATATATAATTATTTATTTAGAAAATTTATAACATAAACATGTTATAAAATCACTACAAAAATAGCCATTTGGTTTCAACACTCCCGGTGATGATGTTGAATGCAAAACAAATGGTTTTAAAAGTTTCAAATTAGTTAACGATCTTTCACAAGGGGAAAACGTTGTTCCAAAAGCTAGAATGACCAATCAAAATACAAGTATAGGAAAATTCAAAAGGGCCTGACAACGAAGTCATGTTATAATAGCTATTGAGATCGTTAAAATACGGGTAAAATTAAAAAAAAGAATTTATTCTAACCAATAATTATTAAATTATATGATAGAATTTGATATTAAAATTAAAAACTGCCAATTTTAAAATCCAAATTTAATCACTATTAAGTTTAAAATTATAAAATTACCGAAGAGAAAAGGGGAAATACATGTTATTCAATTTATTTCTTCGTTGAAATTACGTTAGAATAAGACGTTACTCCATCCGGTCCTCCGACAATATATATGTATACATTGTAATCCCAAGTGTGCGAGTGGGGTCGTAAAATCACGCGTAAAACCACACAAACACAATCAGATTATAATACATAAGCATCCAGACATATTTAGATATATATATATACACACAAAAAAGTGACGAGACAGAAATAGAGAACATATATATATATATATATTTTAAGGGTACACGTGTTGAAGTAGGCATCCCTCTTTTTCTTGACAATGAAATTGTCAGCTACCAGTCTAGGATGTCTAAAAACACATGTATCCATGAAATATAAGATTTATAATAATACTAATAATAATTTATAATAATTTATATACAAGGCTCAAATCCTGCATGTCGCTTATGCCATAAATTTGATGAGACTGTCGGCCATATAGTATCAGGATATCCAGTCCCTGCTGAAAAAGAATATATTACTCGACAAGACAGGCTTGGATAATATATTGTCATGTCTGTTCGAACTATGACATTGAAGTCCCGTATACATGACAGAAACACCACTTGAGTGATGTCACAAATGCTGATGGAGTGACTCTGTTGTGGAAATTTCCAATCATCACAGACAGAAAAATTGATGCAAATAATTCAAATGGATCACACATAGTCATAAAAAAATTTAAAAAAAGGCACCTGCCAAATAATTGATATAAACTGTACATATCATCTGCAAAATAAATCTCTCCATCTAAACGAAACCAAAACCATTGTGCATATAGATAACTTTACTACAGTGCTCTTTTACGGACTGGACTTTGTAATTAGGCACTTAAAATTACTATCTGGCAAGATGATGCCACGCGTAATAATAATAATTATAATAATAATAAAAATAATAATAAAATAAAATAATAATAATAATAATAATAATAATAATAATAATAATCTATCAATCTGAAAACTGTTTCTCATTATCACGTATATTAATGTTCATGTAAGACGAACGATTATATTCGGGAAGAACTCTTGAAAAGGAAGCTGAGAAATATTCCTCTATTTAGAAGTATTTTCTTTGTGATTTCTTCTTTTCTTCGGTGCCATGTTCATTATTGCAGCGTCTCGCATTCTCTCGTGTTCCCTCGCGACTCAGTATCGCTGTAGACGATAGAATACTACTTGAAGTGAATTCGATCTCCCATCAAAAGAAATGGCCCGCAAAAAATACAAACGGACCAATCACACTATTTTTTCAGTAATTATAGGGGCTTCGGATCAAACTGAAACGAGGCTCATTCAGTGATCTGGGAAATAAGAAAAGACTCTGTACAGAAAGGCGTGTGTCAAATGATTTCAACAGTAGTTCAACTCCAATGGCTTTCAGTTTCATTCGATATAGATTCTTATTTCGATTCGTAATTCCTGTGAAATTTACTGAATCCTTTGAACGAAGATTTAGAGAGAGAGAGAGAGAGAGAGAAAGAGAGAGAGAAAGAGAGAGAGAGAGAGAGAGGTTGTTGCACACTTATTTGCTATAAAGCATAAAATTGGATCCTTTGATGCTGTAATGGTGTTTAACTGATTTTAACAGGAGTGGGCCACATCGGCAACGTTTGACCAGATTTCGAACGCAGATTCCATAAAACGAAGCCTTCACTCGAGTCAAATATCACGAGAACGAGAAAAAGGGAGAAAAGAAACTAAGTAGAATTTGCGAAGAAATTCAGAGAGAAAGAGAAAGTGGGAGAGAGGAACCTGGACAGGGAATGTGGAAATGTATGAAGTAAAAAGTGTTGGTGATATATAGATAGATAGATAGCAGATACATAGATAGATAGATAGATAGATAGATAGATAGATAGATAGATAGATAGAGAGAGAGAGAGAGAGAGAGAGAGAGAGATAGTGGGCTATATATACAGAGTGTATCAAAAATATTTTAACAAACATTGAAGGTGAGTTTCTCTAACCAAAACAAGGACAAAAGTCCATACAAATATACGTCTACAAATCCTTCGTTTTTCATTTATTAAGTTTAAAGAAAGTTTACGGCACATGGCGCCATGTTGCCATATGGACTGGGTTACATTTGTCATTCGTGTATATTTGAGGCTAGTCTAGTAGTATAGTAGTGAGTTAACTGAGAAGCGTTCCGTTTAACAATGGCACAATATCTATATCATGAGTAGTTAGATAGGATTTTTACATACGGCCACGTGAATGGTAATAGACGCGAGACTACACGATTGTATCAGATTGCGTTTCCAGACCCAAGGCAGCTGAGTCATCCAACCTTTGCTGCTGGTTATTGTCGCGTTGCGGAGACAGGATCCGTGGTACCACAGAGCATGACCCAAGGAGGACCGAGATACGCTCGCACGCCTGACCACGAAGAACACATTCTACAGACAATCGGAAATGATCCAGGTATCAGCATGCGTAGAGTGGAGCTTGTTTTAGTGAGGAACCCACCCCGAAATATATATATATATATATATATATATATATATATATATATATATATATATATATATATATATATATATTTATTTAAAAATTATAACATAAATACGTTATAAAATCACTATAAAAAATGTTATTTAATTTATTTTTTCATTGAAATTACGTTAAAATAGACGCTAATATCGGCTCAGATTATAATACATAAGCACCCAGACATATTTAGATATATACCTATATATACATATATATATTTATACATATATATATATTTATACGTACAAATATATATATATATATATATATATATATATATATATATATATATATATATATATATATATATATATACACATATTATATATACACACACATATACACACACACACACACACACCCACACACAATATATATATATATATATATATATATATATATATATATATATATATATATATATATATATATATATATATATATATATATATATATATATATATATATATATATATATATATATATATAAATCTACGGGCATACACGAGAATATATAATAAGATCGATGTGCTAACCAGCAGGGTCTAAAGCAAGCCACATCAAATTTTGGCTTCTCCTACCAAGTGGGCGCGGGTTCGTACCCGGCTAGAGAGCACATTTCTTATTTCTTTGCATTGAGTTGCATATACTATCAGGGCATCCCATAAATTATGTCTGAATTTTGAATAAAGAAAACAAGTGACCAAATGTTACATTTAATTACAGATTCAATCAACAATGTATTTTCCCTGATTATCTATGACTTCCTTCCATCTATTAACAAGCTTGCTAATTCCATTACTGTAAAATTATTTTGGCTTTGATTCGAAGAACTCACAAATGTCAGTTTTAACCTCTTCCTGTGTTACAAAAGCTGTTTCTTCCAAATGATTCTGTAATCTACGAAACAAATGGTAGTCTGAAGGAGCAAGATCGGGAGAATAAGGTGGATGAGGAATTTTCTCCCAACCAATCTTTTGTGACGTGATTCTTCCTGTGTAGGGTCGTGCATTGTCCTGATGAAACATCACCTCTTTTCCATTCACTAGAGCAGGTCTTTTTTCCTCAAAGCTTGGTTCAAACGCTCTAATTGCTGACAGGATATTTGAGAATTTATTGTTGCATTAGGTGGTAAGAATTCAAAGTGGATTATTCCTTGACGATCCCACCAGATTGAAAGAAGAAACTTTTGCCCATGGCTGTGGCTGGGGTCCTTCCCGTTTACCAAGCCACTGTCTACGACGCTTAACATTTCGATAAAAGATCCATTTTTCGTTGCCAGTCACAAGTCTATCCAAAAAACGGTGAAACAAGTTGGCGAGAATGGAGAGAAGAGCAGATGTCAACTCGGGATTTGAGGTTATTTTCAGGCAATTCATGAGGCACCCATTTTCCAAGTTTAGGAACTTTTCCAAGTTGTTGAAGATGACGATGAACAGTTGTATGGTTTGTAGTGAGAACCAGTGCCAATTCCTCAACTGATAAAGCAGGATTTTCTTCAAGGGCTGCTTCAAGAAGCTTTTCATCAAACTCAACTAGACGTCCGGTTCGAACTTCATCTTCAAGGGTGAAATCTCCACCACTGAATTTTGCAAACCATCTTCTGCAAGTTCTTTCATTCACACATTCCTCTCCATAAACTGAGTGAATGTTACTAGCCGCTTCGGCTGCTGAGTTTCCTTTCTTGAACTCATAAAGCATTACGTACCTCAAATGATTCTTGGGTACTTCCATGTTAGCAGGGTTTTAATCAAACAAAATTTAATTTTATTGTTCGCTGAAATAAAATTTGATCAGTTTAAATTCATCTAAACATAAAAATAATGTTCAGCTCCATTAGACATTATAAAATACTCTTTAAATTTCGTTCATTTTAACAAAAAGTTAAAATTCGGACAGAACTTATGGGATGACCTGATATTTTAGTGTCATCTTCTAAAATTTGTCTTATGTTAATATTAACATTGTATTAACATAATAATACCAAATATTAACATATGATGTAAATAAAATATATGTTCCAAAATCCCAGATATGTAAACTCGTCAAAAGGAAATGAAATTTGATTTAATTTCTTTCAGTCTTGTTAATGACTGCAGCCAGTGGAAAGCTTCGGGCAAAAACTAATGTGAAGTCAGAATGGTGTTCTGATCAAGACAACGTGAGATAATTATTATCAAAATATAATAGTAGACATGACTTGTTTGTTATCTTCAATAAAAATTGCTTGAATGAACATTTGTCGCCTCGATGCACACAATATATTTATGATATGGTGCCAAAAGAAATCTCACTGGTCTTCGGATTGGTTAACGTCGTCAT